TTCACATGTAGATGCTGAGGAAGCCGTGGCTGTGCATGGGTATGTATTTTATTTTCCAGAGATTTCCAGGAGTCTCTGCTCTAACACTCAACATAAATAGCTGGACTGACCAACCAGATGGAAACAATTAAATCAAAACAACATCAAATAATTTTAAAAGGTGGCTTAAGCCTAAAATGAATGTTACCCACAGACGTCTAAATTCAAGAGGAGGTACAAAGTCTTACCAGGGTCTGTGCGTCCTGCAGTGTCCGGCACTGCACATGGAGGATGAATGGTTCAAACTTCAAAACAGCATTGCTGGTTGCACCCTTCAGAGCTGCCATCTGCATGAACCAAAGGGCAGCATCAGGCAGGACTGCTCCGCCGTGTCCCGTGAACCCTTACAGCCTACCTTCTCTTGCTGTCCCAGAAACCCTCACACTCACAAAGTACACAGTGTCTGTAATATCTGCTTCTTTTGCGTTTTGGCATTCTTTCATTAACATCATTATATGCTTATTTTGTTAATTGTTTTCTCTATAGTTGTTTATTTACTGGGTGGGGCATCTGCACTATGACACCTATGAAGGTCCAGGACAACTTTCCTCGGTTCTCTTCTCTTACCACGTGGGTCCTGGAGATCAGCCTGGGTCAGCAGATTGGCAGCAGGTGTTTTAACCACTGAGCCACCTTATCAGGCCTATTTGCTTATTTTCTTAAAAGACTTGATTTCTAGTTTTCCCATAAATCTGAGCCTTCTGGTAAACTACCGTTTCCTTGATTTTCTTGAAGGGGCATAGTACACAAAGCCTGCCCTTGGAAGGCTGATGAAATGCTTTGGGTTAGACTGAGACAGGGACATACGCATTATGAAGGATGCAGGCAAGGCCGATGTCTCCCCAGTGTGCGCAGAGTATAAGATGGGCTCATACGCATGGAAACCATGTCACATACAGAGAACTTAGAGCACAGTCAGTACTCTGTTTCCTCTGTACTGGGTACAAGTCCATTTCCTTGAATCATATACCTGTCTTGCAGATGCCATAGCGTAAAGGTCTTTTGATTGAAGCACACAGTGGATGTGTGGACCACAATGGTCCTTAGCTGCATTACAGCTCTAACAGCCAGGGTAAGCACACAGTTGTATCAGCTGATGCTCCATAGGGGATGGGCTATACTGTCCGTCCCTTGCCAGGTCTGGATCTTACCCCTCATTCCTGCTCTAAGTAAACATTATACTGTGGAAACCTAGCACATGCTGTTTGTTCTTAGCAACCCTGAGTTATGTACCAGTCTCTTTCCTGAGTGGCATGTGGCATGGACAATTTATACAGTGGCACACAGTAAACAAATAATACTACATCTGAGCTAAAATGTATACCAGACAGTTACCATTTCTGTCTCCTGGCATCCATGGGCAGCACCCTCTCCCCTTCACACCACTGGTTCTCTGAGCTGTCAATGACAACCCTGTCATTCTCACTCTCCCTATCAATCAGGAGCTTCACTTGTCTGCGTCTGAGCAGAGACTATATCACCCACTAGCAAAAGCAATTCATTTACCATGAAGCACTGAATCCACACAGGACAACTCAGAGTCCTTCTTTAGGATTGGTCCATGAATGTTAGGAAAAGGACGTCTATTGCTGCTGGGATTGCTGGCAGTTCCCCTCGATGCTGCAAAGATTCTCTGCAGCAGAAGAGCACACAGTCTGCAGCTCCCAGAGACACAGAGGGAAGGATTCTCCACATTTAACACGAGAACACCTGGATCAGCCATGCCTCCCTCAATCTCCACCTGTCCCTTCATGCTGTCTGCACAGGATGGGACAGGATTTCTAAAAGGACCAGAAGGGAAAGGCACCTGCCTGATGCGACCTTCCATGTGCTTACCTAACACTTCAGTCTCAGAGAATAGACAATGAAGGCCGTGACAGCGATCCACGATGTATAATTATTTCCAGCACCAAAGCCAGCAATGCAGAGAGGGTGAATCCCCTTCCTCTTCTGTCACTTGCGCCTACAGACTCTCCGTTGCTGGAGATGATGCTCCTCTGAGCCACAGGCACAGGGACACCTTCACACCATCACCTCCTACAGCCCAATGGGGCCAATGGAGTGAAAACTCCCGAGGCTTCATCACCTTCAGCCATTACAATTACACATGTGGATCGTCTATTCTCTCCACACATATTTAAGGTAGCTGTGAATTTTTAAAGTTTGTTTTTTAAATATTAACAACTTACCACGTCGTCTTTCCCACAGGGTTTGTGGGTGACCAGCATCCAGCAGCAGTGCTGTTTCTGAACCCCAGAACCATCTGTGCTCTAAAAAAAACCAAAAAAACAGACAACCTAATTATAATAGTTAACGAAGCAAGTACACTGCATTGTATAATATGATGGGCATTCTTAAATTAATACTCATAATGATTACTAAAAATAATTCAATATATTGGGGGCAAAAATAACCTAGAAGAAAAATCAACTAAAATAACTTAGGGCTTGAACGGTAACAGTACTTGTGTGTTCAGAAGCACGGCCATGTTTTTTGCTTCCATGTTTGTGTTGTGATGCTAGGGGTGGAGCCCAAGGCCTCATAAATGCCATGTGGTCACACTTACCATGGGGACAAATGCCACTTGGTCTTGTTTTTGTTGGAAGAAAAGGGGGATGAGGGGTTATATGCTAGCAGCATCTCATCAGGAGACACCTGTACAATGGTCTGGCTAACACTACACAAGACTTACATTTGCTGACATCTGTGATGGGCAGGCCTTCCAACACCTCCCTCATCACTACTGGCACAATGTTGTGATTGCTACATTAGAATGTCTGCAGAGAAGCTAGGACCAAAGCATCAAAGATCTGAAAGGGCTCCCATCACAACCTTGACTTAAACATTGTTCATTTGTAAGATCCAGTAGGAATATGCAGGTCCTTCCCCAAGACACTTGAAAGTGAAAGCAGGAGACCTTGGACAGGGAGATCACTGTGACTCTAAAATAATTACTTATACAAGGGCTCTGGAGGATACACTGCCATCTGGTCTCGGAAACACGTGTCTGAATAACTGGTTTTCATAAGAAGACTTTAGTAACATGTATTTGTCCTTGTGCTGGCTGCTATAAACCTCAGAGCCAAATGGGTGGTCCACATTTAACAAATTCACAGAATCTAATACCATGACTTGGCAGCACCTCTGGCTCATCTATGTTCCTCTCATCCTGGTTTTTCACTCTCCTTCTTTCCTAATAAGTCGGAGTAAAATTAAATACCAGCAAAGCATAAGATACATTAGCTAAAAAGAGATCCAGATAGAGTCCTCAGACAGTTCAGGGTGAACAGTCACTACTAAGTGGGTCTGTGCTCACGTCTGTCCGTCTGCACCTCTTTGGGTGTTCCCAAGAGTGAAGCTTGGGAACTCAGGTCTCATATCCTCATATCCTCTAGATGTGGACACAGGGAAAGCATTTACAGAAGCCGAGGCAGGAAGATCACAGGTTAAGGGCGTCCTTGGTCTATGGCATGTGTTCCAGCCCAGCCTGGACAACTTCAAAATACTCCACTTTAAAAGGTAAAAGACAGGGAGGTGCTGGGGACATGGCTCAGTTGTGGAGCTCCTGCCCAGCATGAGTGAGGCCCGAGTTCTCAGTGCTCCTGAATGAAGAACACGGGCAAGACAAGGTCACAAGGAGCCAAGGAGAAGAGTTCAATTTCGGCAATTAGTTCAAGTGGGGATAGGGTTGCAGGACGTAGCACAATATAAATTTTGATTTTTCTGAAATAAGAAATGTCACGACATTTCAACACGAATGTTTAGCCAAGAAAATCCTGCCTTAAAAGGTGAATATAAAAAAAGACAAATGTGTTAATGTATAAAACATGGTTTAGAGGAGAGAAAACAGTGCTTCAGAAACTCATTAGGAAAGTTCTGAAAAACCCGATGGGGCAGTGGTAGAAGAGGCGGGACAGCTATCTTTTGCACAGAACCAGAACGGGATGGAAGCAACATAAACACGAGCAGGTCTTGCTAATTCTGGAGTGTGGTAAATGATTACGCTGGATCTCAAAACTGTACCCATGCATGCTCTGGATACAGGAACAGTAATACAATGAACACGAGGCAACTTTTAACGAACAACGTGGGCCAGGCATGACGATAAATGCTGGGAATAAATGATCCTATTTCCTCCACACAAAATCCTATGCAACAGATGTTGTCTAGTTATCTTCAGTTCGTAGGACAGGAAGAGAATGGATAACTGGTTGGTTCTCGGCCTGGGCCTCTGCCTCTTCAGGCACTGCTGCAATAATGGGGTGCGCCACCGGGCGGCTGTGGACCACCGGGCGGCTGTGGACCACCGGGCGGCTGGGGACCACCGGGCGGCTGGGGACCACCGGGCGGCTGGGGACCACCGGGCGGCTGTCACCCCTTCCCTGCAGCGGCGCCCATCAGAGGAAGCAGGGGACCTGGTCAGGGCGGCTCCGGCGAGGACCCGGGCGGGAGCCTCCATTCCTCTGGCATTCTAGAAACCCAGTGTTCCCAGCTGTCGCCGCTCAAGCTAGCTCCACCAGCACCTGGGCGGCCCTGTTGGAAAGCCCGGGAGTTAGCAAACAGCCCCGCGGGGCGCGTGACGGCGGCCCGGGGGCCGCACAGGCGCGGCGGCGCGGCCTCACCCCGTCCAGGAGGAGGATGCGGCCTGCGCACGAGCTGGTGGTGAAGAACTCTTCCCGCGAGTTCAGCAGCTCCACCACCTCGGCCGCGTCCTCGTCCACGCTGCCTTTGCGGCTGAGGTCCGCCCTGCTCAGACTCTGCGCTTTCCATCGGCGGAACTCGGCGCTGTGGTCCATGCGCCAGCGACAGGGAGCCGGCTCCCGGCTTCCGCACCGTCTCCCTGCTCCGTGGGCGCAGCCATATTGCCGCCACGGTGGCCGGAGACGACCAAACTTCTCCACCTGTGCGATCAGCCGACTCCAGACTCCGCCCCCGGAAGGTAGGGGAGGCGTTACGAGGTGGAACCTTGCAGAAGTTGGAAAAGACCGGCCCATCTCTTTTGCCAAGGCACTTCTGGAGCTCAGGAGGTTTTGATTTCTACTCTACAGAAGGGTAAGTCGTTTCTTTCCTTCTCCCTGTCCCGGGACACCAGGACACCAAGCTCCTAGCCCTGTCTGCTGGGAGGCTTTAAAAAAAGAAAGAAAAGAAGCCCACCTCCACCACCACCACCACCACCTCCTCCTCCTCCTCCTCCTCC